TCAGAGGTGAATGGTTTTTCTCAGGCCTATGCATGATTTCAGTCCATCCTGAGTCTGTGGAGACATGCTAATTTGTACAGCTCTATTTTCACTACATGCTAGAACACCCAGCCTGGAATTTAATAGAGAGTAAAGTTATGCAAAGAATCACTGTGTGCAGCAAGAACCAGAACATTTTCTGCCAAGGCCATCTCCAGTATAAACATGTACACACAAAAGTCCATTCTATATATAGAACTTGACCTTGAATACCAAAATCTATTTGCCACACTGTGGAGCAAATGTGTTTTCATTCTCTTGATTAAAATAATAGAAAGTATCATCATTCTTACAGTCTTGGTATTTATAACAAAAATATAACCACTATATATATATATTTGTGTGTGTGTGTGTAACTTTGGAGACTTGCCAAGGTCTATTGACAAGGTGTCTGGTACCATTCTTGGCTTGGGAGAAAAAGTCGTACAGTTGAGAATCTTCTCTCTCAAGCAATTACTTGAAGATCCAATCCAAGAGGACTAAAAGTGTCTAGAGAAGTCCTCTATAACTTCTGGCCAGAAACGGGCCTCAGTCTCTTAAGCTAGTCTGGCAGGTCATGGAAATTCTACTCTGGAGCTGAGTATACAAGAGAAATATTTCTTCAGTATTTATTTTGACCATTGAAATAGCCATGACAGATTTTTTTTTTCCTTTCCCTCCAGGCCCAAAGTGACATTTTAAAGAAGAAACCACTCTTTGGGTACCATAGAGTCTTTTAAAAATAATATTAGAATAAAAGTTCAAAGGAATATCTGCTCAGGCACAGCTGTCCAAAGCTTCATATTTCAAAAAGAATTTGGCCACTTTAATGCAAACAGGAGTCAGGACTGCTCATTTCAGCCTCTTGCCTTGGAATCTACTTCTTTTGTATTCGAATAACACCAGATTCACACCTAGCGACAGTCTCTCAGTTCAAAGGCATTTTGTTGCCTGTTTTTCTATTAAATGCATGTTACCTTGCAGCATTGGTCCTTTTTTTCTTTTTTTCCATATTCCTGCTTTGTTTGTGCAACTGATTATGAGATTTGTAAGGTGAAGAGTCACATCTTGCACTCCATTATTTCTTGCAGAGCTGGGTTTGTCATGCCCAGGAAATAGTTGTAGAGCGGATGAATGAGTGAAAGAATGACAAAAACTGGAGAGCCATGGTAGGTAAGTCACTAGATAGCCAGATGAAGATAATTACAAAACTCAGGTCAGATTAACAAGAAAGGTGTTGTAGGGACAAGAATGTTTCATTTGAGCCACAGACATGGATCCTAGCCCTAGGTTGCCTTGCTTGGCTTCACTTATTCAACAAATACTTCTTTAAATGTCTTCTAACAGGCCAGGGAGGCACTGTAGCAGGCCCTGAATGAGACCAAGTCCCCGTTCTCCTAGCATGGTAGTGGTGGGGAGGGGGACATGCAGAGATTAGGGATGACAGAAGATATGATAATGACAAACACTGGGCATATGGGGCAGAGAAGGTTCTTCTGTGTTAGGCTTGTTTCCAAGAAGGCTTCCTGAAGAGAAGGGTTTTGATTTAAGTCTTGAATAATGAGTAAGTTTTGGCTAGATGAGATGAATTGGGAAATGTATGCATGGATGTTCCTAACCATAACACAGGTTGCATTTGAGAACTAAAGTCTCAGCTGAAAAGATAACCATGGCCAGAGCTGAAGTTAGAGAGGTAGGCCTGAGCAGCTTTGCAGAGGGCCTTGTGGCAATGTGATTTAGTACTAAAGAGCAGAGGTTTAGAAATCAGACAAAACTGAGTTCAAATCACAGTTCTTCTACTTACTAGCTATGTAGCAGTAACTGTGTGTGTGTGTTTTTAACCCAGAAATCAAGTCTTGATTTCTTTAGCATGGTGTCTAGCTCTGTGGCTTAACTATCGCTGCATAACAAATTTATCCCAAACCATAACAACTTTAAAATAACATGATTTTATTAAATTCTCATAGTATCTGTGGGTCCCGAATGTGAATCCTGTTTAGTGAGGATTCTCTGCTTCAGAGTCTCTTACAAGACTGCAGTCCAAGTGTCAGCCAGAATTAAGGTGCTGTCTCAAGACATTGATGCCTTCGAACTGTGGTGCTGGAGAAGACTCCTGAGAGTCCTTTGGACAGTGAGGAGATCAAACCAGTCAATCCTAAAGAAATCAACCCTGAATACTCATAGGAAGGACTGATGCTGAAGCTGAAGCTGAAGCTCCAGTATTCTAGTCACCTGATGCAAACAGGTGGCTGTTCCACCTGTTCCAATGAACTTTTCCTCATTGGAAAAGTTCCTGATGCTGGAAAAGATTAAGGGCAGAAGGAGAAGAGGGTGGCAAAGAATGAGTCACTGGATGGCATCACCAATGCAGTGGACATGAACTTGGGCAAACTCCAGGAGATGGCGAGGGGCAGGGAGGCCTGGTGTGTGGCAGTCCATGGGGTCGCAGAGTCAGACACGACTGGGCAACTGAACAACAACTCAAGACATGACTGGGGAAGGATCTCCTTCCAGGCTCACTTACATGGTTGTTGGCAGAATTCAGTGCTTTGTTGGATGTTGGCCAGAGGCTGCCTCCAGTGCCTTGCCATGCTGGCCTTCCCAGCATAATTGCTTGCTTCATCAAAACCAGGGAGAGAGAGTCTGCCAGCAAGACAGATTTAGCCTAATATTTGAAATGATTTCTCAACTCTGTTGCCACATTCTTTGGTTTAGAAGTCACTAGGGGTGTTCTTTGGTGGCTCAGTGGTAAAGAATCCACCTTCAGTGCATGAGACATGGGTTCAATACCTGATTTGGGAAGATCCCACACACCACGAGCAACTAAGCCTGTGGGCCACAACAATTGAGCCTGTGCTCCGGAGTCTAGGAGTTGCAACTACTGAAGCCCATGTGCCCTAGAGCCCGTGTCCCACAATAAGAGAAGCCACCACAGTGAGAAGCTCACCCACCACAACAAAAAGCAACCCCTGTTCACTGCAACTAGAGAAAAGCCCATGCAGCAATAAAGACCCAGTGCAACCAAGAAAAAGCAAAATAAATAAAATTGTATTAATAGACAAAAAAGAAGTCACTAGGCTAGCCTACACGCCAGGGGAAGAGATTATACAAGGGAGTAAACACTAGGAAATGGGGGTCATTGAGGGCCATCTTAGGGGTCTGCCGGACTCATAATGGCTTATTACCACTTCATAAATGTTAACTATTATTATTCTCAGTTGAGAGATTTGCAAGAGCCTCAAAAATCAGTGAAGGATTTCATATCACAGAGTAACTTTAGGTGACCTTGGGCAAGTCAAGTCACCTAATGTCTTTGAGCTATTTCCTCCTCAGTACGATGAAAATTATCTGTCTCCAAAAGAAAGGAGAACATAATATATGCAAACACAAATTCATTTTTGTAACATCAAATATATGTCTTCTCAGTTTGAGGAAGCAAACTACTTTAGGCCACTTTTCCGTTTTGTGTTGATTCTGTGAGTCTCACAGTCTGATCTTTTTAAAGTTTTCAGGGCTTGGCTCTGTGGGCTGGTAAGGATTTGTATAACGGGAGTAAGACCCACAGAAAGAAATCTGTTTTTTGAGCATTCCTGAAGGCATTTCCAAGGGTTTGCTTTTCCCTTCTTTTAAAATACCTTTGCTTCCAAAGACCCCAGGGAGATTCCAAGAGAGAAAACAGACTATCTGGGAAATTTCAAGCTCTTGATAATAAAATTGGTAGTAAAATCTCTTCCAGCTACTGGAGCTTCGCTGAGGGTACATTTATGGTAGATGGGGTTCCCCCACACTCTCAGGGCATCTGGTTTGGCGGTTGTGAGCTTTCCAGTTCCGCGGAGAGCTCGGGTTACCACCTCTGCGGCGGCGGTCAAGAGCAGCATCGATGCCCGACCCAGGGTCTCTCCACCGTGGCGCCTAGCCCGTTTCTGCTTGGTGTCCAAACCGGATGCCTTATTCCACGCCCCAAACAGAGCCGATCGCACACTGTCGCGTTTCATGCCCTTCTCGGGTGCGGTTTTCCCCGGGGAAGGTAAACAACGCTCTTGACTCGGACTGGCAGGCATTTCGGCCCGGTGGCCCAGTCCTTCCGGGCGGTCCCGTCCTCCTGGGAGGCAACCTTAGGGAGGGGGATGGAATTTAGGAGTCAGTCCCCAGGCTTCTCACAAAGCCGCGGTTCTCCGCAGCGAGTCTCTGGGTGAAGTGAAGCGGCCGCACCTTCCGGGCGGTCCTGTCCTCCTGGGAGGCAACCTTAGGGAGGGGGATGGAATTTAGGAGTCAGTCCCCAGGCTTCTCACAAAGCCGCGGTTCTCCGCAGCGAGTCTCTGGGTGAAGTGAAGCGGCCGCGGGGGAAGCTGTGGCTGCGACAATGCCTTTTGCTTCCCGGTTCGAGAGCCTGACGTCCAGGGCGATGGGCGCCTGGGACCCCAGGGCAGGGCGCAAACCGTAACCCCTACCACCCTCGCCCTGCCAGGCTGGCGGGGCACGTCGCGCCAGCCAGCAGCTGCACACGCTGCCTCGAGGTTCTCCTTGGCGCCGAGGTCATCTCCTGCAGCGCCGCCGCCTTCGAACCGTGCGGGCCATTTGGTCCACGGGGCGGAACTCGCCAGGATCTCCGGGTAGCCCCGTTAGGAGGGTGGAGATGAACTCCCCGCCCCGCGAGCTCTCGGGGAGCGGAGGCGGAGGAGAAGTAATTCCGATCACCCCTGGCGGGGGCTTTCACCTCTCCAGCCCCCGCCGCTCCGGTGACCGCTGCCTTGGAGAACTTAACGAGAACCAGATGTGGTGGCCGCTGTCGAACTTTCTCAGAGCAGGCGATTGGGTCCGGGCCCAAGGCCGCGGCCAATCAGCGCTTTGGGAGGGCCCAGAGTCCCGCCCCGCCCGGGCACCCGCGGGGATCCAGGTCTGAGGCCCGCTCGGCGCCGCTAGTGGGCTGGCTGGCCGGGCGGGACGAGGTCTGTCGCGGGGCAGCCCAGGGCCGAGCAAGCATGCGGGGGGACCCGGCGGCCGGGCGGCCGGCGCTGCCGCCGCCGTTGCTGCTAATGCTGCTGCTGCTGCTGTCGCGGGCCGCGGCGCTGCACCCAAGCGAGCTCTTCCCCTATGGGCAGTCGCGAGGGGACCAGCTCCTGCAGGAAGGCGACGACGAAAGCTCAGCCGCCGTGAAGCTGACGCTTTCCCTGCGCTTCTACGATGCTCAATTCAGCGACCTCTACGTAAGTTTAGCTTCTTCATGGTGCGGGACTCGGCAGATTTCTAGCAGCTTCTGAACAAGGGTCATTGGTAGTGTGAATCTCACCGGACCCCTGCCTTCCGAGGGGAGGAAATAGTCCGCGTGGTCGGTTGTCCCCGAGCACCCTTGGGGTGGGACCTGGCTTTTTGCCTTTGCCAAGCGCACTGCATTCCCCAGCTACAAGGGGACAGTAAGAATTGTTCGCAGCTGCATAAGCGTCCCAGGCAGAAAAGAAGGTGGGATTCCTAAGGCGGCCAGTGGGGTCTAAAGTTAAGTTCAGCGAGAGGGCAGTGCAAGTTTGCAGAACTGGGTGTTCCTTCTTCAAACCCAGAGCTTTCCCCCCAGGGTTGTGCGGGAAGTGAAAAGATATGTGAAGGAGTTTAGGGCTCCTGGACCTATTGCACTGCACGTGTGGGATAGGGTGGCGGGGTGGAGTCGGGGCGTGGGGCGACGCCGGCTGAACTTGCAATGGTCGCTATGAACCAGGAGTCAGGCTTCCAGGATGGGGATGTGGGGAGCTTCATGCCCCGAGGGCTCCCTTCCCTTCTTGCGGTGCCACAGGGTAGGCTCGCGCGTCCTTGGGCTTCCTACGGTCATCTTTTTGTCCCCCTCATTCCCCAGGTGGGCACCAACGGCATCATCTCCACCCAGGACTTCCCCAGGGAGACCCAGTATGTGGACGACGATTTCCCCACAGACTTCCCGGCCATCGCCCCCTTCCTGGCCGACATCGACACCAGTGGCGGTAGGGGCCGGGTCCTGTACCGCCAGGACACCTCTCCGGAGGTGCTGGGCCTGGCCGCCAGCTACGTGCGCGCAGGCTTCCCGCTTTCCGGCGCGCACTTCACTCCCACCCACGCCTTTCTGGCCACCTGGGAGCAGGTGGGCGCCTACGAAGAAGCCAAGCGTGGGGCCCCGCCCTCGGGAGAGGTAAGCGACCAGGGATGCTTGGCCTCTGTGCTTACTGAAAGATGGGCTTGAATTCTGGGCTGGAACCCAGGCTTGAAGTTTCTCCTGAGTCTGCTCTCCCAGTGAACCTGATGTAAGATTTGGTGGCACCGGGGCTGAACTGGCTTGGTTTTCTCCAGGCTTTCTCTGAGGGTCTGAGAGGTGGTCACTCTTGTAAGGAGAACTGCTTAGGAGATGTGAGTGCCCCAGTGCAGATGCAGGAGGGAGTTTATGGTTTGATTGTTTATTTTTAGAATCACCTCATATATACAAGAATTGTTTCTAATTATATGTTCATTCAAGGAAAAACATCAGAAGACGGCAGGCAATTTTGAAAAGAACAACTACTCATTTTCCTGCCACTTAAGATAACCACTATTAAACGGTTTTGTGTGCACCTGCCAGAGCTTTTCCTATCCATGTCTGTATGTGTCTCTGTCTATTAAGGATGGATTCACACTCCACATACTGTTTTGTAACTTTTTTTTAGTAAGTTGTGAATATATTTCACTGTCAATAAATATATTTCTACAACATCATCGTTAATGTTTGTATATTCCATCCAGTGGATTTCTCACTGTGCCCAGTGGTCAGCAATGTTATTTCCAATTCTTAATCATTATCAATTTGTGAAGCACTTTTTCATTTTTAGGCTAAATCTTTACACCATGTCACCACTTGACTTTCCAGGAAGTGGAATTGTGGGCCAGAGTGATGCATTTTATATGTAGGTTTTGATAATTTTTGCCAAACTGTCACTCAGGTACCAGTTCACATGCTCCCTACTTTACAGGAGACTGCCCTTGGTCCGTTGTATAGTCTCTACCTGAGATATTGAGCACCTTCTTTGTGCAGGGTATTGGGCTAGGTGGCAGATTGGAGAAAGATAAAGAAGGTAAGTATGTTGCATGCATTCATTCACTGAAGTACTCCAAATGGATTATCAGATGGATCAAAGTGGTTTGGCAAAGGGTAGTTGCCTCATTCCTGGGGTAGGTAAGGACTTCCTCCATGAAATTCAACCTGAATCTAAAATGTCATACTCCAAGGGCTGAAACTCTTTCACCTTATCTCTATTTTAACTCATCAATGTGATTTTTAGCTATATAGAGGCGGTACATATCCTCCTTCAGGTTCAGGGAGGTTAAGTAGCTTGCACACTCTCCCTGCATGATTCAAGATGGTGGCCATTCTTATTCTGTGTTCCCTGAGTGAGAGGAGTATCTTCTAAAGACTCTACTAAGCAAAGAGGATCTAGAGATTTAAAAAATCATTTGAATTGATTTTTGCCAATTTTTTTGAAACATCTAGTTTAGTTTATTGAATAACTTTTTAATGCATAGATTTGACATTTCAGTTATTCAATTCAACAGAGTATATTTAATTCAAACACATATATCAAGCACCTTCTTTGTGCAGGGCATTGGGCTAGGTGGAGGGTTGGATAAAGATAAATAAGGTAAGTATGTTGATTAATTCATTTATTTTTGTCCATAAGTTTAAAAAAAATATTTAAAGTTTAACATACCTATAATACAAAGCTTAGAAAATAAACATTGTTTATAATTATACTAATCAGAGGTCACCATTGCTATTTTGTTTTCTTCAAATCTTCTTTTCTAAACATATATATGTGATATATTAATATATGTATGTATAAGTACTTTATATTTAAACATAGTTGAGATTTATTTATCCAACAAACTTTTTTGCACACTTACTGTATGTCAGGGTGTGTAGACACTGTGAAAGGACACATTCTTTACTTTCAAGGATCTCAGAGTTTAATAGGACATTGATTATGATTCAATATAAGTGAAGTGACATCTTTTTTTTTTTTCATTTATTTTTATTAGTTGGAGGCTAATTACTTTACATCATTGCAGTAGTTTTTGTTATACATTGAAATGAATCAGCCATGGATTTACATGTATTCCCCATCCCAGTCCCCCCTCCAACCTCCCTCTCCACCCGATCCCTCTGGGTCTTCCCAGTGCACCAGGCCCGAGCACTTGTCTCATGTACCCAACCTGAGCTGGTTATCCGTTTCACCCTAGATAATATACATGTTTCAATGCTGTTCTCTTGAAACATCCCACCCTCGCCTTCTCCCAGAGTCCACAAGTCTGTTCTATACATCTGAGTCTCTTTTTCTGTTTTGCATATAGGGTTATCGTTACCATCTTTCTAAAGTCCATATATATGTGTTAGTATACTGTAATGGTCTTTATCTTTCTGGCTTACTTCGCTCTGTATAATGGGCTCCAGTTTCATCCATCTCATTAGAACTGATTCAAATGAATTCTTTTTAATGGCTGAGTAATATTCCATGGTGTATATGTACCACAGCTTCCTCATCCATTCGTCTGCTGATGGGCATCTGGGTTGCTTCCATGTCCTGGCTATTATAAACAGTGCTGCGATGAACATTGGGGTGCACGTGTCTCTTTCAGATCTGGTTTCCTTGGTGTGTATGCCCAGAAGTGGGATTGCTGGGTCATATGGCAGTTCTATTTCCAGCTTTTTAAGAAATCTCCACACTGTTTTCCATAGTGGCTGTACTAATTTGCATTCCCACCAACAGTGTAAGAGGGTTCCCTTTTCTCCACACCCTCTCCAGCATTTATTGCTTGTAGACTTTTGGATAGCAGCCATCCTGACTGGCGTGTAATGGTACCTCATTGTGGTTTTGATTTGCATTTCTCTGATAATGAGTGATGTTGAGCATCTTTTCATGTGTTTGTTAGCCATCTGTATGTCTTCCTTGGAGAAATGTCTGTTTAGTTCTTTGGCCCATTTTTTGATTGGGTCATTTATTTTTCTGGAGTTGAGCTGGAGGAGTTGCTTGTATATTTTTGAGATTAATCCTTTGTCTGTTGCTTCGTTTGCTATTATTTTCTCCCAATCTGAGGGCTGTCTTTTCACCTTGCTTATAGTTTCCTTTGTTGTGCAAAAGCTTTTAAGTGTGAAGTGACATCTTAAAGAGACTAACTCCACCCCTCACTGGTTAGGGAATCTAATCTGGGAAAGTTTTAGTGAGCAATTGTCTTTGAATCTGAGTTGGGCAGAGTTTAACATTCCTTATAGAAGGGGTAGCATATGATGTATCACCTACATACTATATTGTTAATGTGTTTTGGGGCATTACACGTGGTATCCTATTACTGAACAGGAAGGATGGTGGGGATGAGGCTGGGAAGGCCATGGGTTAGGGGCAGATCATGCTCTGCTAAGAGTTTGGACTTGGTTCTTTGGCACTGGGCAGCTCTTGAAGGATTTTAAATAGAAGTTTTTGTTTTTCAAAGAGTGCTCTTTTTGACTATGGAGAAGGTAAGGGTTCAAAGGAAAGACTGACTACTTAGACAATGATTATATGTGTTGTTTATTCAGGATATCTTGTTAATTCTTATAACAACACTTTATCATGCTGTCTTCTCACAACACTGCTGCAGACAAGTACAGCAAGACTACTGTTTGCCATTAGCTAGTAAGTTCAGGTGAGTGTGCAGAATTCTGTACATAGTAAGCTAAAGGCAGGTGTAGAATACAGACTTTTGTTTGTTTTGTGGTGTGTGGGATCCTCCGTTGTGGCATGTGAGCTCTCAATTTCAGTATGTGGGATCTAGTTCCCTGACCAGAATTGAACCCAGGTTCCCTGCTTTGGGAGCATAAAGTTCCAGTCCCTGGACCACCAGGGAAGTCCCTATAATATAGGCTTCTTGGTTCTTAGGTTTTTGTTGTTGTTTCTTCTACCCAGACTTTTCATGCAGGACCCATTCTATTGGCACAAGTGATGTAGGTAGACACAATAGTTATGCCTTCTCCAAAGACTTCCAGTTAATGAGCCTTGTTTTATTGTTTTGATGTGATCTTAGTGCCAGAAGAGTCCTCGGACTCATATCTCATTCAAAGGAAGAATTAACTCGGAATGAAATTTGCCAAGGATACTATTGATTCCTTATTACTTCCAAATTAGTATGCCAGTGGTCTGAAGTTAATTCAGCTGTATCTGTCTTACTTTTTCAACAGAGGAAAAAAAGGTAATTTTGAGCTGGGTGAGATGAATTGGAGAGATGAGCAGTTGCCCAGAGCCTGTGGGGTGATGAAGTCACTCTTAGAGCTTTAGGATTCCAATTTTATCAGAACTTATTTGAAACTGAAAATTGTAATGCAGACAAATATTTTTCTCAGTTTCATCTGTAGCATGGAAATAATGCTTCTGATGTGAAGATAATGACAAAAAATCTTTTGAAAGAAGTAGTTTATGAAAGGTTATCCAGTGACTTTGGAAGCAATGATCCAGCCTCAGTCTTAGTTTATTAACCTGTAAAATGAGGTAGCAATGCTTACCTTATAGGACTGTTGTCAAAATTCAGGGGACATTTTAAAGTAGCCATCATAGTCCCTTAGACTTAGAAGGTGCATTTGCTCAGCAGATCTGTGTTCCCCTACATGGGGTTGATATAGGGCCAGATTCTGGTTTTTTGATTTCTCTATCTTGAAAGGATACTGTGATGTGAGTCTTTTACTTAAGGACTCTTTAAATACAAAGTTTTCTGCATTGCAACTTCTGTCTGGGCCTCTTTATGGTGGGGGCGGAGCGTGGGAAGATTTGTAGAATCCATCTCTTACTTTTCTAATTAAAATTAATCTTCAGAAATGTTGCCAAATGCTGAGCTGGCTTCAGAATGTTTCATTTAGAAAAGAGATAAAGATTCTGTTTGGAGAGAGGATGTTTCTTTAATTACCCACATTGAAGGTTCCTTCTGAATACTTTGAAGAGCCCTGTGATATTAGTTGTTGTTTTAATAGTTCTTTGGAAATAGATTTTGGCAAACAGTAATCTACTTTGCTTGAAAGACTGTGTGAGTTCTACATGGCCTTCTTAAACCTTGGCATATAACGTGTTGCAGTTACCAGAAACTTGAAGATGTCAGAGGAAAGGCATTTTTACCTTTTAAAACTGTTTCAGATGTCCTTTC